ATTGGTGGATAGACTTAGGACTGATGGTGAACCGTATATTGCTCTCCACTTGAGGTAATAATTGTCATTCCTAAGATCTCACTCGAACTTGTTATAAAAAAAACGTGTAGTGGTTGCTAAGGATATAGCCATTTTTGATCTTCGTGAAGATATAGTATTTACCATTAAATGACTTAGAAAATGGCTATTTAATGCAGATACGAGAAAGACATGCTTGCATTCACTGGCTGCAGCCACAATTTAACCGCAGAAGAGGCTGAAGAACTACGGGGCATGAGGTTTGATGTCAAGCATTGGAAAGAGAAAGAGATAGACAGCAAAGAGAGGAGACTACAGGGAGGCTGCCCAATGTCTCCTCGGGAGGCAGCATTGCTTCTCAAGGCCATGGGATATCCCGCCTCAACTAGAATATACGTAGTTGCTGGGGAAATTTACGGTAACAACAGCATGGATGCCTTCAGGTCTGAGTACCCAAATGTTTTCACTCATTGGACCCTCGCCACAGAAGAAGAGTTGGTGCCATTCAGGCTTTATCAGAACCGCCTCGCAGCCTTAGATCACTTTGTAGCTGTAGAAAGTGATGTCTTTGTTTACACATATGACGGTAATATGGCAAAGGCCGTGCAAGGGCATAGGAGGTTTGAGGGATTTAGGAAGACAATAAATCCGGACAGGTTTTTTTATATTTTTTTCGACACTGGTTACTCTTAAGCTTTCTCTTGGGCAGAAGTAAATTCATTCTGTTCTTTCCTTTTTCAGGCTCAATTTTGTCAGACTGATAGATTTGTTTGACAATGGAGCAATCTCTTGGGAGAATTTCGCTTCTGAAGTCAAGAGCTTACACTCGAACAGACTCGGAGCACCATACCCTAGACAAGCAGGCGAATCACCAAGACTTGAGGAGAGCTTTTATGCAAATCCTTTTCCTGGATGTGTTTGTAATAAATCTGAGCAGCAAAGAATGCGTCAGCAACTCATCCATAAACCTAACCTGAGAGTTGCTTCACAAAGATAAGAGTTCCATTTTGTCTCAACTGTGAATCATACGAATAATACACGTCCACTTTGTTGGATCCAGATTTTCATCCTTCAGGATACCATCAGAAGAGGATCACAGAGTTGCAGCAGATGATATATTGATATCAAAGGTTTGATGTGTGATTGGTTAAGATATCAGAATGCGCAGTACAGGATTAAAGCGATTTTGCTATGTTGATAAACACGAGATAGCAGATACACTGCATTATTGCTTTCTGATACTGGAGCATAGGATTTCATATTTGTTCATATGTATTTTCTTCACTAGGGTGGTAGAAAATGGTGAAGTACAGATTTTTTATTCTATTTATTCATTCTTATTATTATCCTCGACTAGATTATATTATATAGCCAAACAGGCTTTTTGCTTGATGTAACTATTGATGAATCTCATGATAAATTTTTTCAAGAAAAGATTGTTCTTGTTATAAATTTGTGTGTGATTTGCTAGCTTATCTTCTTCATTTTTTTTTTGCTCGGAGTGTGTAACGGTGGGGGCGCAGGTTTAAGGTGATGACTAACTATAACATCGCGCCACCTATCAAGGACTAACGAAAGTAAACAAGCAAAGGCCAGACGGCGAAGGTTCTGTGAGAATATTGTGATCAGTTCAAGAGGTAAAGACTCTTTTTCCCCCCCTTCTATTGAGATTATATTAGTGAAAACTGAAGAAAGTTACAAGAATTGTATCAATTTAACTTCATATAGGATCCACATCATACCAACTTGTAGTCTAGAGAAAACAAGGCAAGTGGAAATGCAAAATCTTCAAGTAGAAAATCAACAGCAAGATGAAATGCTGTCCCCCTTTTAATAAACGAAATTCTTGAACATCTCCCTAGATATCTCACATTTACCACAGACAGAGAGCACAAAAAACTCTACATTGAATGGAAACTAAGAACTATGGTTTCAGATTTGGCGGCTCTCTAATTTACCACATTGACGGGGCATAGACCTGTTCTTTCAAATTTTGTGTAGCGCTTTCTGTAGGAAAACCTCGTACAGCACCAATAGTCCACTGTGATATTATGCCTGCCGCAATTGCAAACCGAAGCTGCCTCACCAAAATATCTTCATTTTCGAACATGTCAGGTTGAGTAGTCAGCTTCCTCATGATTCCAGCCACAACAGCATCACCGGAACCAGTTCTATCACAAGTGAATGGTGTAATTAGTACGTCTTCTGTACCGACCACCACTCCATCAAAAGAAGGTGAATAATAATGAAGTCGAAGTGTTCCATCCGTCACAAACAAGAATTTTAATCTATCGTGCCACAATGGCGAGATTTCTTCACGTTTGTAGTGATAGTAATCTCTTCGTTTCTTTGTTTCCTCAAAATTCTCGGCGTAGTATTGAGGCCTATAATTTCTTCTCCTCTCATAATATTCTTCATCTAAAAGGAACTCCAATTCTTGCTTTGTGACCTCAATGATGTCTGCCTGTTCCCAAGCTTCCTTAATTGCTTCCCACGTATCATCACGTGATTTCCATAATGGCAGTGGAAGATTCAAGTCAAAAAATATAAGACCACCAAATTTTTTGGACCAGGAAATTGCTTTAAAAAGGGTAGAATGCATGGATGACGATGTTAGAACTTCGGAATTAAAATGAAAAATTCTAGCCTGCAAGGAATAATAGAGAAACCATGAATCAACTTACACTATTTAACTAGTGCAACTCCCATATTGTTTATAACAACGATTTAATGGTTGCTTCATTCAATCTCATCACATCACTGCGGTAAAACAAGCAATATTTCATAACCCGCGGCCTATAAACCTATTCCAAACAATTAATTATGTAAACAATGTCATAAGAACCAAGTGGCTATACAAAATGTTCATATCATTTGACAGGAAACTTATAAGGTATACTTTAACATGCCATCAACGTAAAGCCAGATTCATTATTCATGTGGAAAACAATCATAAGAAATGGATTACCAACCAGCAAAATAACCAAAATGAAACTAACCACTGGCAATATGGTTCAATGAATATGCTGCACAAATAGTGAATCCAGTCAACCTATGGCTGTTTATCTAGCAAACTATGCAAAATATGCCGAAAATTTAACTCATTTAGCCAATTCAGTTGTTCATTCCTTCGTTACGACTATAAATTTTGATCCACCAATTTCCAAGATTCTAAAGCCAGAAATCAATAATTTTAGGATTTTTTTTTCTAATGCTATAAGGGACAATCGAATACCTCTTTGAGCACTGAAAGATTCAACTCAGAGCTAAGCAAGGAGTTCTCAGCAGATTCTTTAACCTTCTCCGCCTTCATTTTACCACCTTCAAACTTAATTTTCATATAAGCACACCCGGTCCTCGCATTATCATCGAATTTCACCGATCTCGTCTGCACCTTCTCCTTGTTCATCATTAACACCATTTCCTCACCAAATTCATCACTCCCAACTTTCCCCATAAACGCTGCCCTCCCACCGAGCCTCACATGGGAAATGGCCACATTCGAAGGCGGCCCACCAGGCGCCCGCACGAACTCAGGCGGATTCCATTGCAGCATTTTCCACTGTGAGTATATATCAGGATGCAATTGCTCAGGTGACACTCTCACTGAAGGCACAAACTCCTTCTGGGCTGCCCCAAAACAACACACTAGAGGAGGGTCTTCGTATGGAATATCCATTCCATCGTCAAAACCAGAAATCTCCTCATCATTTTCTACTGTTGACAACTCAGTATCCTTACGACGGCGTTTCGATACTTCTCTGGGAGGTGAATCTGTAGTTGTAGTGGATTTCTTACGGCCTCTACGGGTTGTTTTTGGTGGGCTTTCAGAGGTGGTGGGGGCGTCATTCCTGGAGGAATTTCTCGGTCTTATTTTTCGGGGATTTGGAGATTTGAGTATGGGTTTGAAGCAAACTGTGGAGATTTTGAATTGGGTTAGCGAATTTAAAGCTAAAGATTGTAAATTTTTCTGAGGAATGGAGGGAAGAAGCAGGTGAAGTGCGGCCATGGCGTTAGATTTTACTTGGGTTTAGTTTATCCATTCCTCATTCTTATGTTCCTGTTAGTTCACTTACGGGAAATATGTTTGGGCTTTTTATTGGGCCCGGATTCTTGACCCGTTACATGTTGGGCTAGAAGCATGGAGAAATCAAGTCAAAATTATTTTGTGATTTCAACTTTGCTTTTGTCAACTTTATGGCACCTAAATTCGAAAATAAACATGGCTCATGAGTAGTGCTTATGCATTGGAAAAGGGAGAGATTAATTAATTGGTCTTATGGATGCATGTTGTGTGTCTTGAACATCATTTATGCTTATTTAATGGGGAAATAAATGCTACATATGTAAAATTATTTTCAATCTTCTCTAAATTAGGTAAATACCTAATTATACCTTCTGATTTCTCTAAATTAATAAGATCCATTACATAATACTTTTTTAATTAACGAATATAATTAATTTGTAGAACATCCACTTAAAAACATTCTTATATATTTGTCAATGCCCAAAACTTGTAATTATCATTGATTAACTTTCAATTCATCGTCCAACGTCTATTAATGCCATCTTAAATCTAGAGGAGCAACAAATTGTTCATGAAAAAATTTCCGATGAAGATCTCATTGAAATTGTATCGTCAAATACCCTCGTGAAGAGAAGCCCTCTATATCTAACAAAGATAAATGGGAAAATTACCCCAAGCCTACATATAAAATATACATATAAAAATTAAGGTGGTATAGTTTTAATTTTACAAATCATGTGATAATTATGATTAATTAAATTAATTAATACAATATTTCTTCTTTCTCCTATCCACAGATCCAATATGGCCGCTTACTTTCTCTCTCCCTCTATTTACAAATTCGCTTGTCGCCACCACAACTTGGTCATGGTGCGATGACGCCTCTACTACACGCGCTGCTGCTATAGAGGCGTCATCGCATTGTGCGCTGCTGTAGCAGAGTTTGCTGCTTCATACAATGTCAACGTCGTTGCTGCAATGACTGATGCACGATCTGGGAAAAATTGGAATTGTTGGATCTTGGAGTTTTTAGATGGTTTTTGTTGTTGGTGATATTTGCGGTTGGAGGTGGTGGTGGGTGTGGTGATGCTTTTTGTGATGGTGAGGTGCTGGTAGTGGCAGTATAGGTGGTGGTGGTGAGGTATTGACGATGGTGATTGTACTGGTGGTGGCTACAAATGGTGGCAGTGGAATTGTGGTAGTATGCGTGGTGGTGGTGAAATGTGGTGTGGTGGTGTGGGAGGAGGTAAAGATGAAAAATGTTTGTGACCAATTATTTGGATTATTGTGATTAATAAATTGGTTAATTTGTGATAAAAAAAATGATAAGTGATTGACAAAATAGACTTGATCCCAAATAGTCACAAATTTGATCATAGAGAATCACAATTAACACATAAAAGATTAGAAATAATCACAATTACTATAAATTGGTCACACTAAAATCATTGTTCACATATTAGATAAAAAAATACCGTTAACATAGACATAGTTTCATATAGTTATTGTCAATACGATCCTGGTCACATATGGTCAAGGTTAAGATATATAAGATTACAGACAGTTACATATGATCAATTAATTTAATAATTTGTGATCGTAAAATAAGTTAAAGCCTATAATATTTGTGATTTGTGGCCAAAAAATAGGTTGTAACCTATAAAATAGGACTTTATTCAATATAATTTGCACAACAATATGTTATATTTTGATAACAATAGGTCACAATGAATGCATTATACATGAGAAACATTTACAATGAAAACAGAAGTGGTCACAGACAGACACAAATAACGCAAATTTGGTCATAGAGAATCACAATTAACAAATTAAAGATCATAGATAGTCACAATTAACTGAAAATTGATCAAACTGAATTTGTTGTTCACAAAACCCTAATTTCAAGCAAGGGCCTATAATTTCATAAATTGCAACAGAAGCCCTTACCCCTAAGTCATCATCAAACCCTAATTTTACCCCTTTTCCTCTACATCGCGGGTGGGTAAACCTTAAAGTTTCCCAGTTTACCTCTGCGATAGCGAAGGACGACCACAGGCGATGCACCATCTCAGGCCTATCGTCAAGCGTCGTCATCTCATGTAAGGTGTTGCTTCGCACACAATGCCAGTTTGTGCGACGATGCTACTTTTGAAGCCTTTGAGGAGTCGATGTGGCTGTCTACGATGAAGGTGGTTGTCGGCGAGATGGAGATGCAATGGCAGGAGCCAGCAATCAGGAGTCAAGAAGTTCCATTTCAGTAATACATATGGCCATGTTTGAGCCATATTTTTTCAAAAAAATACATTCTTAAACAGTGATTTGACATAATTTCAACCACACATTCTTCAATAAAATAATATTACATGCAAATTCAAAATTTTTCTTTATTTTTTAACCATATATTTTCCATCAATATACTATTCAAAAATGCATTCTATGAAAATAATGTAGCTCAAACAAGGGATAATATATTTCATTATTATTGTTATTATAATTTAACACATGTTTTGTGGAACTCTTTTAAAATTTTGTTAAATTTGATTTCCCAAGATAAATAGGTGCCATTCACTCATGCATCGACGGTGGGAGTGGGGCCTTTGGCCCAATTCATTTTTTGAAGTTTTTCTTCTATGTATGTATTAGCGAGTATAATTTTTTAGATAATACTACATGTACATAATGGTGTACATACGGATTTACACTTCCTCAGATGAAGAGAGGCCCACATACAATAAATTATGTGCGAACCCCCTCCACATGAGAGAGGTGTAACCCCGTGTGTACACAAGGTGTACAAGCAGTGTTACCCTAATTTTTTTGTCATCCTTGGCTCTGTCGCTGCGCTCATGTATTTCTCTTCTTTACCTTTCAAATCTCACTCATATTATTTGAGATCAGGATAATCGAGAAAAAACATGATGCTTAAATGGTTCTCTAAAGAATATAATTTTACTAATTATAACTTAACAATTTTTTATTGGTATCAAACGATCACATATAGCTAACTCAACAATGAGAAATGGAAATAGAGTTTAATTGGTGAAGTGTTGACAATCTTGAGACGTGCGAGCCATACAATGTTAGGGTTGAAATGCCTTTATTCCTTGTGATATAAACAAGTAACCAAAAGAATCTAAGGAAGATAAATTTGTTTTTTTTTTTTATTTACTATCTCTTAACCCAATATATTAAACATAGCATTAGCCTTTTTATTTTGTTTTCCCTTCAATGGAATATTTTGAGTCAATTTGATTGACTTACTTTCATATTTCATTTCCCATCAACATTGAATCTTACCATGCATTTACTTTAATGGAGCTTGCTACTTGCCTAACACGGCACAAGTCTTCCACTTCTCTCACGCCAAATCTTTAATTATCACATAGAATTTAAAGCGTGACGTTATTAATGAGAGATTAAGAGCTTGTTTGGAAGAACTTTTTCAAGTGAAAAATAATTTTTTTGAAATATGTGTAGTTTAAAAGTAATGAAAAATTATAAATATCATAAAGTGTGTCAAACAAGGTATAAATATGTAATCTACTGTCAAAGTTTATTATGAGGTGTTAAACGGACAAACGTGCTCATCACAAACAAGTCACATGCCGCAGCTCCACCCTTCAAACAAGTCTCGTTAAACTTCAATGTCGGTCTAAACCAAAACCGATTTATCACCTTAACCTAATTTCACTCTATTAATGTCATAAGCTAATAATTAGATTGCCTAGTTGCCAGAAATAACCTCCAGATTTTGGGTGAAATTTGGATACGTTTGATTGCAAAGGTGGAATTCAAATCGAAAGAAAACGAATTTTAGGAAATTGAATTACCTAGAAATTATTTTACTGGGAATTGTCAATTAATAGTATTTGATTGGTATAATTTTCCACCTGAAAAATGTTGAAATAAAAGTGTATTTTGGTGCTCATTTGGCTTTATTTTTGATGAAAATTGTTAATTTAAGGGATATACACTTCTACAATTGTTCATAAAATTTGTTTCCATTGCCAATAAAAATTAAAAAATAAATAAATCCGAAAATCATCTATATTTTGGTATTCGTTTGACTTTATTTTTATGAAAATTGTCAATTAAAGGAATATAATTTTTTACAAATGTAGATAAAATTTGTTTTTATTGCTGAAAAAAATTTTAAAAAAAATGGAAAACCAATTCTCCCCATTTAGGTGAGAATTGATTTTCCACCAGAATAGGGAAAATTAGATCTGGGCATCGGGTGGGTTAGTCCGGTTATTTCAATACCCAGAACCACTCATTATGCTTCGAGTATTTTGCAATTGGAACCATTCGGGTCTTTATAAATACTAGAACCCAATCCAAACCCGAACCGTTGGTTTCGGTTCGGTTTCGGATCTACCCATAGCATTTTATATACATTAATTTAATAAATATTTTACATAAACATTTTTGATACATATACCCAATACGTTACTATTCGTAAATATTTGTGCAATGAAGAAAATTCAGTTAAAAATTTTCACTGAGCAAAATATTGAATATTAAAAGCCATGAAAAATAGGAGAAAATAAAATAAATATCCGAAAATGAAATTATAACTTAAAAAAAATATTTTTCTTAATAAATCTTATTCGATCTATAAGAAAAGCATACTAGGCATATAATTTAATTATGAACAATACTTAAATTCTTCTACTTTTAAAACGAACTGATATAAAAATATTAATTAAATACATAACTAATATAATATCAAAAAATTATGGTCTACATGTTGAACTCACTCTGTTTGAATAGAAAAATAAAAAATATATATTTAAAAAGAGAATCACAAACTCAAGATAATAAAAACGTACAACACAACGCAAGCAATGAATATATTAAATTCAATTGCCACGCGTTATAAAAAATATAAAAAAATCACTTAAATTTATTAACAATACAAGAAAGTAAAAAATTGGAATTGCAAAGAATAAACGCGTTGATTCATCAACTTATACCACAACCTCTTTGAAATTTTTGATTTGTAAAAAAACTCAAATTGTAAACATTAACACATAATAACCTCTGAAATACAACAATTTGATGTAAGGTGAGAGGTAAAAAAAGTAAGAGCCAATCTTATTTTTAGGGTTAGAGTTTAAAATTTTAGACTAATTACTATCAAAATTAGGATTTTTGGGTTTTATATATTTTTTCAGCTTATATATATATATATATATATATATATATATATATATATATATATATATTTTATAATAATTGGTTCTACTCGAGTACCCACAGTTCTGTTTCAAGAACCAAGAATCGAACCGAACTCAGTCGATTATTGATTTCAGTTCCTAATTTATTTTTCGAGAAATCGAACCAGAACCTTCGATTCTTGTTCGGTTTCAGTTCGAGAGATTCGATTCTGGTTAACATACCCAGGTCTAAGGAAAATACACATATGTGAGGAAAATATGGAAAATGAATTTTATGAAAAAAAATTTACAATCAAACATCAAAAAAGTTGAAAAATGGAAAACATTTTCCATGGAAAATATCCCAATCAAACAGCGCCTTAGATATTCTACAAGAAGATGAAGTCAATATGGAAATGGAATTAATTGGTTAAATTCCCATTTGATCTTTCAATTATGAACTTGCCGCAGCCGTCTTCTCCACAAATTTAAACCATTTTTTTTTCTATATAAATTCCACCAATCATAGGTTGACACGTCCTAGTCCAAATGCCCCAATGTGAAAGAGAGTTGGAACGTTATTGACATTTCCAATTTCTTGTTCCTCATTCCACATTGACCCTTCAACTTCCGATTTTGAGTTCTAGGCCTTGTCAAATTGAACGTGCAAGAATTTTTTTACCCTATTATTGATTAGTCGTTAACACCTCGTCTAGTATGTAGAATTAGACCAAATTAAACACTACTCACACTATATAAAAGAGCTCTTCATCTTGAGATTGTACGGTTTTCTTTTCTCGTTTTCAATAAATTTAGCTCCTGTTTGATGCCCATTATGAAGAGATTTTGGAGAAAAATGATATTTTAACTAATAATTTTATGGAGAATGTGTTATTAAAAAATAAAAAAATGTTTTAGACTTATATGTAAAATATTTTATTGTGTAAATGCATAGTTGAAAAAGATTATAAAAAATAAAAAGTTTTGAAATAAAGAGAATCAAACGAGGGCTTAAATGTACTCAAACTCGATTCTACTCGACTCGAATCCATTTCAGTTATAAAAAAGTTAAATAATTATATTAAAATATGAGTGCTTAGACAACTGTAGACTTGAGACCGTGGCAAGAGGGTCGTGGAAGCATTCATAGAGAAACTTAAATATGCAGACCACCCAACACGTCTCGTTAGGCATCAACAAGAAATTATGTATATTTTCAAGGACCCTTAAAATAGTCAAAGTATATAATTATATTATTATAATCTGGAAAATTATATGAAAAAACGTGTGGGCTCTACTCTAACATGCAATGACCCTTATATAAACACAAAGCCTCCATTGAAAGTTTCTCACAAAACACATTGATTCTCTTCATTGAGTTCTCCCACCAAATTATTTTTCAAGAAAATCAGTTCATAAACAAACAGTAAACAAAAAATGAAAATATCTTTTGTTCTCTTCTTTGCATTCTCCATGTTTCTTCAAGGCACACGAGGTAAAAATTT